TGAAGTTTTTTTTCAGTTCGTCTTGAATGTTGACAACATGTAAAATTCAATCAGCAACAAATGATTGTAAATTATAAACAAATAACCACAAAGATACAAAGAAAATATAAATACGTCAAACTAAAGGAGGGACTGATTCGTAATCAACATCCTGGTAGTGTACGGAGTGCAAACAGGCATCATCTGTGTGAGATGGGTCATGCCACCATTACTGATCAAACGATTGTTTTAACGGCGTGGCATTGTCCGAATCTATTCTCAAATATAGGTTTGAAACAGTCTTGTTCACGCCTCTAGAAGCGCTTGCCCCACTAACCCAGCGTGTGGCACTTTGCATCGGTGGGCGCTGTCCGAACACAACCCACACGTGCTTTATGAGCGAAAGGTCAAGATCTGTGACGGCCATTGCGTTCTGGTGGTGTGTTGCTTTTGAAACTGGTATGATTCGGAACGGTGGGTACGAGCATTGTCGCTTTGAGTTAGTGAGTAAGAATTTAGCAATATTTCAGCAATATACGGCGACACCAGAAATGGTTATCACATATTGCACCTATGTGGGGAATCGAACCCGGTATTCAGCATGACGAGCGGAGGCTTTAACCCCTTGTCGCCTTAAACACGGGGACCTGCAAGGCGTGGGAATGAGTGATTGACTGAGCGAATCTAGTTTTACGCCCTTTACTATTTCGCATCGATTCTTAAACAAGTGTCATTGTATAGTCGGAAATTTCTTTCATGGATGTGGAAAGATAATTGTCGCCTTTATTTAGAACATGTGGTTTCCGAGCACGCAGATTCGTTGCATGCAGTGATTTTAATAATGGAATCATGGAAGGAAACAAATGTTTCTTTGGACGTTTCAGTCAGATGACTTAAAGCCTTGTTTCAGAACGATTGATTTAAGACTTTTTGATCTAAGGGGTGCAGATCACTGACATTTATGCACTGACAAGGACGAGTATTCTGTTTCGACGTTGAGGAACCTCACATCACCCCTGTAGAAAAGATGGTTGACCTCTGCACAGCATTCAAGGCTGCAGAAAAGCTCTGAACATGTTGTATGGTAGATGGGGGCGTTTCCGTCACATGACATGCGTGGTTGGCGAGCTGTCTATGGCGCCAGGCTAGTGATCCAGCGAGTTTAAGGTGCCCGGAGCAAGGCCAGGTATAAAAACCTTGGAGTCAACTTTGTGTGTACACCCTGTACACTTTAAAGAACCCACGAACCTGTTAGTAGATGACCAAATGGTGGCCACATGAATACGTGCAAACACCTAGTTGCGGGTACAGCAACGTGCAATAAAATTTGGACAAAGTACTGTGACTACGTGTCCCAGTCCACCCAGCTGTGAATGGGTACCTCGTAAGGATGGGAAAGCCACATTTACTTGGTGCGCCTAGTGGCTGCACGAGTTGTATGATCCCCAGGGAGTTGAGATCGAAAATACGATGTGCCATTGGGATTGACATCCAATGATCAAGATAAAAGCCAAGCGCTTTGAGCATGCATGTAGATGTGATGGACTATAGCGCTATATAAATACCCATAAAATAACAATTTGTGACGGCTGCCAGCTCTTGAGCAGCATACGCTCAACTTTTCACGAACACCTACTCGATCACTATTTGATAGTGATTCAAAGAGTATGCGCAAATTGACAAAGAAAAACAGGGCGAAGCTTAATTCCCTGAATTGTTGCTTCAAAAAAACAACAACAAAAAGTACTAAATTGAATTCAAGTGGCTTTAATTAATCCACATAATAAACATCGCAATGGCGTCATAAGTGAAAGACACAAGTGAAAGAAACACATGTTGTATATTTTAATATAGTAGAACATATTGCTGCATTGTAATATCAATATCTGTCTAATAACAGCCGTTGAATAGATTTTGCCAGATTGTGCTACAGTGGCGTTCAAACGCCGACATATACCTCCTCACAAAGAACCATTGATTTTGCAAACAAACTTCTATTGTAACAAAATTCTAATTGGTCACAGCTGACATTTCTCCAGGACAGCAATGTTTGTGGCTGCCGTTACAACTATATGTATCTAATGTGGTTGTATTCCAAACATTTGAGACAAAACATGTATTTCCAGTTGATTAATATATCTGGGTAACGCTTTTCGATTTGACAGTGTTAAACTATGAGGGGTTAAAAACGCCAAGATATCTGCGTTGAAAACTGAGAATGTTTATCTGCCTTCAAGAATTCACTCTGGAGTCAGATCAGGTGACTGGTACCAGTGCTCGTTCTGATGATCATAAACAGGTACCTTTATGTCGTCGTTGTCATCGCGCCACAGCACGGAATCATTGTTACTAAAGTACTGTCGGAAATAAAAAAAACCCTGTTTTTAGGCTGTTACTCTGTATCCCTACAATTGACACAATTGCAAATAGCATCTGTCGAATAACGTACATCGGCCTAACTGGGCGTTCAGTGGGCTGCTTAATAGGATGTGCTTAATAGAAGCATGCTTACTCGTAAAACCGGGCCAAACTTAGAATAAATACCAATAGCTGCTGAAAACAATGGATCAGACTATAGATAGCAATTAGGTCGCACAAGGGGCCATCTCAAAGATATTTTTGCTTTTTCATGCGTGTTGAATATGTCTGATCTATTGATTAACATCTTGCGCGTCTTTTTTTCATAAAGTTTATGTGAAACAGTATGATACCCGCAGAAAATCTTAAATCGGCCTTCGTATTAAATGTCTCAAAATATATAGGTGGCATGACCACCCAAAGCTCTAAAGGACTGGATATTATTTTTAAACTGTTATGACATGCCGTTTACTTCCCCAGTTTAATTCCCCTAAAGGATTTTATTATATGACGGGTAGATTTCCGCCCTTCTGATTGGCCCATTTAATCACATGACAGTTGTGGCGCCAAGTGATGTCAACCTCGAGGTTGATATAACAATCCAAACACCTCCCGTGGCTAAAAATAGATTTGGGATATTCCAGGTGTGAACTCCGCACTGCTGAAATTGAGACTTGAAATATTTGAACTGTGATGGGTTAAAGATGTTGAAATATTATTGACTGTTGAAAGATATCTAAGATGTTGTGATAATAAACAAGTTGAATATAAAAAAAATTGCTTTCATTTACTTAAACTGCCTCTGAAAGCTGTAAGCCTATTCCAGCTTATATTGAGTCTCTCCTATGTCACAGAAGAACAGGTATTCAGTACTTTTGTCACATAATAAAACAGTTATTGACTTCAGTTTGGTTGATCCAATGATTTATCGACCTTGGACATGTGATATTCACCTCGGTCGATAAATCATTGGATCAACCTCACTAGAAGTCAATAATTGTATAATCTTATCTTAGCTGATATCTCTATCCAGATATCTACCCAGCCCGACCCCAACCGCCATCTGCGACACCCGTCCTGGTGTTGCTTTTGAGACGACCCCTCTTACCTGTTTATTTTTTATAGTGACAGTGAGACTCCATGGTTCTGCATCCTTAATAGTTTCAGTACTTAAGTTATCATTTTTTATGTCAGCTATCGTTTGTAATTAAGCTAAGTCTAATTTCAAAATGGGCATTTATAAAGTGTCCTTTGTAATACAATATCATCGCACACTAATTTGCATAAAGCCATGGTCTGTTTAATAAGTCGCTTTGGACTCATTGCTTATTTCTGCACTAATCTCTCCTCAGTAAAGTCCTTTATTTACGTTTCCTACCTCCCTACCACAGAGACTGTAGTTAGGCCGAACTAAGTTTAACAGATATTTGAAACTGTTACATATCAACTTCATAAATTGTTGATATAAATTTTTAAAAAAATTCCGACAGTACTTTAGACCTGTCTACGGTGAGTGGGTGAGAAAGTTTAGTTTTACGCCGCTTTTAGCAATATTCAAACAATATCACGGCAGGGGACACCAGAAATGTGCCTCACACGTTGTACCCATGTTGGGAATCGAACCAAGGTCTTCAGCGTGACGAGCGGACGCTGAACCATTAGGCTACCCCACCGCCCCATGACCTCTCCACAAAGCCATATTTCACTTAGACTACACTGACAATGTTCTACATTTCCATGGTTTCTGGTGTTCCCTCTTGAGTAAGTACATGAAATGTCCCTACAAAACATATCATCTGTGTCATGATAGAGATGAAGATCTTGTTGCCGGCCGAGGATATCTTCCTACGTGTTTCAATGATGCGAGATCAAAAGAAGACCGATTTTGTTCTAACTCGAAAACTAATAAATACATAATACTCAATGAAACGCTGATCATTATCAAAATTAGACCAACTAGTTGTTTAGATTTATGTCCTAAAATTAAAATAGTGGTTTAAAGTTCTATCATTTGTTACGAGGGAGGAGTGCAGAGAAAATGAGAGCCAGGTGTTAGAGAATCACTGCACAAGTGCAGACAAAGTTATTGATTCCTTAACCTGTGCTGTGCTGTGCCGTCTCCATCCGTTCTCGCACACCTGGCTGTCCCTTTCTCTGCACTCCTCCCTCGTAACAAATAGTGAACTGTGTCAATATTTTAATGATAGTTTGTTAAACAACTTTTTTTAATTTTAGGACATAAATTCTGCAAAAACCTCACAGAGTTGGTCTGAAGGTTTGATTATGATCATTGTTTCATGGAGTATTTTATGATTATTAGTTTTCGGACTATAGTTATGTGGTCTGTTAAATAATGCGTTCTCGCGATCTCGCACTTTTGGCATTTTTAGCTTGTTTCCAAAGGTCGAGATCGCAAGAATGCGAGATCGCGAGAATGTCCCTTACATGATTCCATAATTGTCCCTACAAAACATATCATCTGTGTCCGATCCAACTTCCTACGTGTTTCAAGATAGAGATGAAAACATTTTGTTGTTGTTGTTGTTGTTGTTGTTGTTGTGACGCTTGTTTCCGGCTGAGGATATCTGTTTGAGTTTGGGTTTACCGCTTCTGTGAAGGGTATTTCACCCTAGTTATGTGGTGTTAGTGGGTTTTGAGTCTGTCTGTCAGTCCGTCCGTCTGCCCGCTCTCTCATCCACGGCATTGGTAAATACAAGTTCAAATATATGTTTACCAATTCAAAGATGGACACATCTTTTTAATGAAATAGTTTTCCTTACACTGCATTTTTTTCAACTGTATTAATTTTAAAACAAGAAATATCTTGAATCTTATTTCCATTCCTGTTGCACACCTATAGACGTGAACGTTTTAGGGGATGCTCCTTGTCTTGGGATCCTTGATTTTATGTCTATGGACCCCCATTCCGCCCCTTCGGTATTCTGTCCCTTCGCCAGGATATTATATCTAATATTACGAGCGTCAAGAAGGGTATATATCGATATCGAAAATCAATATCTTCAACTAGGTTTTTTAACCTGGCTTTCCAGTTCATGATTCCCATTCAAACCGACACTGAAAGGACCATGACTGTTGCTCATTTGTAGATTTGCAGGATTCCATACGAATGGCGTTTTCTGACTTAACCAAATTTAAACAGTATGTTCCGCTAGGACGTCTGTACATCAGCTGATCGTGTTCTGTATATTCCCATTTACCAGCAGATTCAGCCATATCCTCTTTGCAGCACGGGATCATCAAAAGGCTCATAGTTTCTGCATCTAAGCCAAAACACTGGCCATTATTCCGGAGACGACCCCGTTTGTCTAGAGAAAAGATTGTTCTGAAAGTAATGCCGTATGACTCGCATACATCGTCAACAGCAACAAAGGTATCATCCACGACGAAAAGACACTTGTCATCCTTCATGATTTCTCCCCACAATAGATCATCCCTCGATGGAACTTTCAGTTCAGGAAATACATGCTCGAGATACCATTTAAAGCTCTCGCTCCCCATTCGTTCCCTGAAATGCCTTCCCTCGTGAATCGATTCAACTTCTTGTGACGTCAAAGTAGGCAAGTGTCCATTATGAGAATTAGCTCTAGAATTTGCAGTCACAAAGTCTGCGTACTCATCCATCCATATTTCAGCAATACGTAAAACATTCTTCATAACTACAATATCCTCTTTGTCTGTTTTAACATTCACGTTATCTTTAAACACATGGCCAACAATAGAGCATGGCACTGTCTCAACTCGTCCTCCTGTCATCCAAACTTTCAACGCCAATTCCAGCTGCTCGCCTCCCCAGATGTTCAGTCCTTCATCAAAGCCTCTGATACTCATGAAGTAAGACCTTCGAACCACAATGGCCGATCCTTGTAATGCTGGTGATGGAAAGGCATCTGTTTGGTGATAGCCAGCTTGGTGGAGGTAGGGTGGGAACGGAAACCAATTCTGGCTGCAAAGATGGGAATCATATCTCATGAGTACTTCCACGTTGACATTGTCTGGAGTTGACGTGATGTTTAAATCCCATCAAAATTTGTACACGATTGGAAGATATCATGTTCGCAACGTAAATCAGAGGTTCAGAGGTCGCATACAATGACATCTGGAGAGGAAAGTATTTCGTCTAAACACATTTACAAATCCAAAATCATTTTGTGATCAAGTTCGTTACATTGAGCTTTTGGTCATTTATAAACATTTTTTGAAAATTGAAATGTTGCGTGTTTTGATTTAATGAGATTTTGATATTTTAGAAGTTGAATAGAAAATGATTCCAGGATATGTAAACATATGATTTTAGAGTTTAGGAATTGTTCACACTTGTTATTACTTCTTTGATAATGGTTAGAAATATGAATGTTCATAACTGCGACTAAAAGTAACGGAGCAACTTCAAAGAAGATGTGGCTGCGATGTGCATTTATAAGGTTATTACTCATCGCCTTTTTCAAACTTATTGTTTTTGTTTGGTATTTCCCACCAATACACGGTTGTCCTGGCCTTTTGAATCTCTAGTCTGCAAAGCATTTACAAAGCCTGGACTTTTCCTGCAGTAGTTGTGTCAAAGTTTGGGGCGGTATCAAACATGATCTTATTAATTATATTTGGCAAATTAAAATGACAATGCAGCAGAAAGAGTTCGGGTGATTCTGGCACAGTCAGGCCGGTAAGGCTCATCATCAGCTCAGGACCCTTGTCCCCCTCTACACGCAGCCCAGACAGCGAATGGGACTTCTCTTGTACAAAAACGAATATTTTGGAAGAGGCTATATATCACCGCAACCTATTTACAGCTGTATAAAAAGGTCCGTTACGTTCGTTAATAGCAGCTGTAAATTCGCAGCTGTAAATAGGTTACGTTGATATGTTTTAGCCTCTTCCAAAATATATGTTTTTGTACAAGAAGTTGACCCTTGCATCTCCAACATAACTTTCATGCTCCCTTCTGATCTCTATTAATTGTATGATTGGAAGAGCAGTAAGATGACACGATGTTTGTCAAACACCCTGTGAATATTTTATAGTGTGTGTTTGGGGGATCTGTCAAGTCAACATTGAATTCCTTTGTGCATACGTTGCCAACAGCGATACCCTGAGCTCTACCTCATTACACATGTTGCACATGTAACGTTAGCAACGCTGCTTATTTTGGTTATTACTTAATATATTTTACCTCATTTCCCAAGACATGCCAGGCCTGGAGCTATCTTGTTCCTTCTTGTCAGATTCCTCATTGACAACGGAATGGTTGTTTGTTTTCGGATGTCTGAAAAAGCAAGTGAAGGAACAATATGATGCGTTGTAGACGTACACTATCACTATCATGTTCTTTAAAGGCATTTAGAAGTTGGACGAATATGACTACCTGCCTACATTATGGATAACAACAACATTAACACCGTATTTCGGAGCTAAATCTTGCACATTCATCAGGTGAAGTTTAGTAAAATCCACAGGCATGGTTATGAAGCAGTTACTGGAGCGATTTCAAGGGGGGTTTCATCAGGGATTCACAATCCCAAAAATACATCATGGGGCACCTAAGAATGCAAACCACAACATATTACAGCAAAGGAGAAGGCGGCTGGATGATTCCGTGACGTAACTTGACTCTCATCTACACATTTAGGGCGGTGGAGTATCCAGTGTTCGATCTTCTATTGCTTGAACCCCATTTATGGTGCTCCCGCCGTGATATTGATGGAATGCTGCCAAAGGTGGCAAAGAACCGACGCACTTACTGATCAACCCATCATCAGAACCTATGTCTAACCAATCTTTCAGCCACCCTGCTTTCGTCTCCTGGTGTACGTCACTCGTTATACCATTATTTGAACTATTGTTAACAGGAACTACCCCGGATATTTCCTCATGATGCCAGAAAACTCAACCGTATATCAGCTGTATCAGTACTTGGAGGTCCTGGACATTTAGCATTTAGGTGGCAATGACATAAGTGGACACCGTCAGGTTGTGAAAGATTGAAACGTACCACCCAATAACAAGATTCCTGATATTCTCCTCTCTCTGTAAGAATCAAGTTTCGTCATGTTTAAAATATCTTCCCGGGATGCACTGACGTACGTATATTTAATATGCCAGGAGGTGTGCCACAGCATTCTGTACTATCACTATCAATTGAAAGTAAAGAAAATAAAGAATTATTAGGATCCTGAACTTACCTGTATTCTATGTCAGGTATGTCGGGTTGAACTACAATTCGTGGCTGACTGACTATTCGTTCCAGAAGGGGCTCCAGCCATGCCACGCCCACTTCCATGTGTGCATCCAGGAACACAAGAACATCTCCCCTGGCCTTCCTGGCACCGTTCATTCTGGTCCTTATTAAACCATCTCTCTTTTTGTTTCTAAGTATCCTAATTCTCTTGTCCAGTATTTCAAAATAACGATCTAAATCGGCTCCCAGATACGAAAATGTGCTTCTGTCGTCTACCAATAAGATTTCTTTTAACAGGTGAGATGGCGTTCGGTGTAGTAGTGTATGCACATGACGTAGTAAGGGCGTCAATGCTTCGTTATAGAAGGGGATGATAACCGACACCGTCAATTGACCCGTGGACTGATATTTTATGTCACGGCATTTAGGGTTGCGTTTGTCACTCAGGTTTCTGTACAGTTGTAGTTTGTCACTTACCGAAACATTGTAACCAAAATATGTATCATTCGGAAGGTAGTGTTTTTTAATGATTTTATGAAGAAGATCGTTCAGAAGTGACAGGGTTTTGTTTGAATGAAGGTTCGAACCAGATAGTGGCTGACCTGGTTTCCAAGATTGGATTCTGAAAAATCATCAAGATGATATTTGGCTGATTTACAATTGCGTCAAGCTGTGAAAAAGCTCATTTTACAATAAAATTATTTGTAATGAGTAAAGCTTATGAGTAAAGCAAATTTGTTTGTGTTAGTTTATCATTTTGAACTCGAATAGCGAGGCTTCTTTGTTTGCTGCTAGACGACGCCCTCAGACAATGTCACCCTTTATGTCGGAGGTCTGAAAGTAATCACCAGACAATCCAGTGACAGAGCATCAGGCCATTCATCAACCAAGTCACAATCGATCACACGATCCGTCTTGTCGCCTCCTTCAACAACCACGAGATCAGCGCCAACCCGGATGTTCTCGGGTCAGTACACGTGCACGTGCAACATGGAACATTGAGATGGGCTGCAAGTTGTGATCAATTGATGTGTGAGTGAGTATGGTTTTACGCCGCTTTTAGCAATATTCCAGCAATATCACGGCGATGTTCAAAAAGCTGCGACAAATATTTATATCTTATGATCTGCTACTTTTTAAAAGGGGGCTCGTAAAGCCGAAGGCCCGGGTTCGATTCCCCACATGGGTGCAATGTGTGAAGCCCATTTCTGGTGTCCCCCATACTGACTACTTTTTAAAGAGAAAAGTATCTGGTATGTATTCTTGTCCCAGAGAGGCGCCTCGTCTTCACGCAAATTTTAGAGTTCAGAATAATTTCGAAATTAGTTTTTTTTTAATTTTAGTTTGTATCACACATAACCATTCATTTCCTCTTAACATTCCGCCACAAGGACATATAATGAGTGTTTGGAAGGATCACAGCTACTCTACCTGGGAATGTGTCGCGTGTCCGGTCTTTCCCTCCCTTGAACTCCGCGATCCCACATGTTCCAAGGTGTCGTAAGCATGGCAACGGACAAGTATATGACTGTAAAGGCAATCAGGCTACCTACAACTAGAACTGGTATGCGGACCATGTTTCACATTTATGGGAGTCAAAATGATGTTATGTTGCATACGCCAGACCTTGAGACCCATATGTTACTTATTCTAGGATTTATATTGGCTGGCTGTGCAAAACCGACTGTCGACATCTGCTACCTATATCGGTACCACTGAAATAGTGAAAGGGTACTGGTTGAATCGAATACAGTGGTCGGAGAAAGTGACCTGTTATAGGACTGATTACTCGTACAAAGAGCTTATATATTGCACTTGTACGTACTTGCGTTGTATGGATTCAACTTGCACTACCTTTCGGCAAGTAAAATACCTTATGTTACACTCCATACCGATGACAGAAGGACAGAGCCCTGGAAAAAATCGATTCAAAACTAACGTGTGGTTTGTTTACAGGCAACCCAGGCACAGATTGAGTTGGGGACATTTGTGCGCTTATCAAACATCTGTTCATGAATGTCATTTTGCTTTATACGCTCGGAGAAAATCAGTTTCTACACATAGCCAGAATAGTTTTCAGGCGTTAACATATTTATTTAGTTGTACGTGGCAGAAAACACAATTTAGTTTGAAAGTAAATATACCCAATATGAAAATACATAAAGCACAAAATACAAAATATGGTTGTCACAAACAGAACAATATTTGGTTGCAAAAATTTATTAACCCAAACCCCCAACTATACATGACAAAACACGCTATCATACACACATTCTATACATTGACACGCAGTTACCCAAACTCTGCCTTCCTCATCCCAATATACTCAAACCATGATGCACACTAAACCTGCAGACAGTCCTTCCATCACTAATCACAACACCGTCCCATCGGCACAGTCATACGATCATAACTGATATCGGGTACAGTCATATGATCATAACTGATATCGGGTACAGTCATACGATCGTAACTGATATCGGGTACAGTCATACGATCATAACTGATATCGGGTACAATCTATAGCGATACAACTGTAGGTTACTATGGCAACAAGGTAACAAATAATTTGGCTTAATATGGCAACAGAGCAACAGTGTCCGTGTTTGGCATCAATCCCTAACCTCTGTCAGTACGAACCCTCAGTTCACATACACCATCCCAGGGTGCCGTTGTACAAAGCAATCTTAGTACTAAGGTGACCGTAGCTCCCCACCTTAACATACCTTAACATAGACTTAAGGTAGTCTTAGCGCTAAGGTGACCGTAGCTCCCACACCTTAACATAGACTTAAGGTAGTCTTAGCGCTAAGGTGACCGTAGCTCCCACACCTTAACATAGACTTAAGGTAGTCTTAGCGCTAAGGTGACCGTAGCTCCCACACCTTAACATAGACTTAAGGTAGTCTTAGCGCTAAGGTGACCGTAGCTCCCACACCTTAACATAGACTTAAGGTAGTCTTAGCGCTAAGGTTCTTTTGTACAACGGCACTCTGGTCACTGGCGTTGTTAGCCGCCTATCGTAGTTCCACTGTCCGACTCGTCAGCCTACAATAGCCACTACTCCAACCGTGGCAATTTCTCCTGGTGATCTTCACGCTTGCCCTCTGGTCACAGCACATCAACCTCTTCGAGAATATCACGTTCAACAGTCCACCGTTGACAAACCATAGGTCTTCATGATAGGTTCTCAGTAACACCATATCCTGGATGCTTAAATACAAACCACTTGTATTTACTAATATGTCCTAGGTTTATATATTATGCCATTTCAACACGACCTGTTCAGTTGCCCATTATACCATCAATGACACAATTATTTTTACCTCTTAATACAATTTAATACCCGTACAACTATCCCACAAATAGTCAAATGTATAACACAACCCGTCAAATGATCACCCAATACTACATTTCTTATTCAAACAGTAAACTCGCGCCCCGTTCTCCCGCCGAAAACACACACAAAGAACCAGACCTTGACAATGGTGAATGAATGAATGAATAAATGAATGAATGAATGAATGAATGAATGAATGAATGAATGAATGAATGAATGAATGAATGAATGAATGAATGAACAAAAAAACAACAAACAAACAAAACCCAATCCCAGGAAATATAAGGAACCCTACAAAATGAGTGGCACTTGAAAATAAGAAGATGGAGAAGACACAAGTCACTAACAGACTACTATGGTATTTCTTGTCAACGGGGGACATGCCTCTCATGGGCGCGCCAGACACTTGGGATTGTGAGTTCGAATCCTAGTTAGTTCAGATTATGTTTCTAAGTCTGTCACCAGTACACCCGTTCTCTGGCTTTGTTGGTTGGTTTGTTGTTTAACGCCGCACTCAGCAGTATTCCAGCTATATGGCGGTGGTCTGTAAATAATCGAGTCTGGGCCAGACAATCCAGTGATCAACAGCATGAGCATCATTCTACACAATTGGGTTACGATGACCTGTGTCAACCAAGTCAGCGAGCCTGACCACCCGATCCCGACCTTACGACACACGTTGGTTGCTCAAGATCAATTCTGACCTGGATCTTCACGTCTTCGTTCCGTAATGTTAAAACTCCGAGACATGTATGACTTTCCTCTCATATGAGTGAGTTTAGTTTTACGCCGCACTCAGCAATATTCCAGCTATATGGCAGCGGTCTGTAAATAATCGAGTCTGGACCAGACAATCCAGGGATCAACAGCATGAGAATCGATCTGCGCAATTGGGAACCGATGACATGTGTCAACCAAGTCAGCGAGCCTGACCACCCCATCCCATTATTCTCCTCTTACGACAAGCATGGATTACTGAAGTTCAATATTCTAACCAGAATCTTCACGGGCTGCTCTCATATGAGGGGCGGTGGGGTAGCCTAGTGGCTAAAGCGTTCGCTCGTCACGCCGAAGGCCCGGGTTCGATTCCCCACATGGGTACAATGTGTGAGGCCCATTTCTGGTGCCCCTCGCCGGGATATTGCTGGAATGTCTCTAAAACCATGCTCACTCACTACTCCCATATAAAAGGTGCCCCGCCAAAAGGAATACAGTTTTAATCAAACTCACACACGTCCGCTTGATTGTTCTGCTTTAATATTTGGATTGGGAAGAACCTATACTAAGGATCCCCTCCTGGAAGTGTACAAACCAACAACCGCCAACAATACAACATCACACCTGTTTACGTGGTCACGTTATTGTTAATATTTATAACAGCCGGTTCACATGAATAAGAAAACAGTTCAATAGAAATTTCACAACAAATGGCATCGTGTTACACTAAGAGCGTACAAATTATCACAAAGACGCTGGATAATTATGTAGATGAAGGGCGTTCGCCCACGTTCCCCGTTTGAAATAGATCAACTGGCCGCTAAATATAATGTTCGTTTGCCTTTTTCATATTCATAAGATATATCTACTAAAGCAATATGTATGTGTTTATGAATCAATATCTAGTCGCGGCTTGTCAAGGAGTCACAATAAAAGAAACTCGGGAACAAATCAAAACAGAAATGTGCATCAGTAATTTTTGTCACTGATGTATTAAGTATGAAAATATTCTCCACATGTCTAACGCTTTACTGGAGCCTTGAATGTCGTAACACTGATCCTGGTTGTGAAAAGAGAGTGAGTGAGGTTAGTGTTACGCCGCTTTTAGCAATATTACAGCAATATAACGGCAGGAAAAGCAGAAATGGGCTTCACATATTACACCCATGTGGGGAATGGAACCCGGGACTTCGTCGTGACGAGCGGACGCATTAGCCACTAGGCTACCCCACTGCCCTGTGAAAAGAGAAACAATAAACAGTCAGGTTACGTGGAACTATCCTTCTGAGTCGGCTTGCATTCCATGCCGAAAGTTCGAAAGTTTCAGAATTACACTTTAGGATGTGAAGAAAAGGCTGATATTTATATTGTTTAATGGGCCTATAAAATGATGAACATTCTTAAACAATATTGTAATTATATTTTTCAAAGGCATTTAGAGGTGACACACATAAGAAAGAGGACTTTATGGATGTCAACTTGTTTATCATGAGGAATGGGTATATAGTTATTCCTTCAACAGGTGGATAAATGCTGACTGATTGATGATTTTGATTTAACGTGCACTTTCCGACATACTGGATCCGCCTATGCCATTAGTACTATCTCACGATCATAATTGTTCCCAATCTCCCACAATCGGTAACTGAACTGTTGAAACACATGAGACAGATCTAGAAAGACAAAGAAAGCCTTAAGATGTGAAGAAACAGTGTGGTTGATATTGTTAAACGGCTCTGTAAAATTATAAACATTCTTGAACAATGTTTTAAATTAGGACTTTGAATGTCATGTAGAAGTGATACGTAAACGGAAGAGAATTTTATGGATGTCAACTTCTTTATTATTAGGAACAGGTATATACTTATTCCTTTCACAGGTGAATAAATGCTGTTAGATTGATGTTTTGGATATAACGTGCGCTCTCCGACATCGTGAGCATTTTCGTACACGTCCCGCCAGATCATTTAGTGTATCATCGAAAGATATGGCAGCCTGACGGGGATGTTTGGATAGCATGACTGAATTTGTATGAATATTGAATTTGGAAATTTGTCCGAAGCGGCGGTCGGGGAGTTGAAGTACGGATTGTTTTGGTTCTTATTGTTTTTCAATTTATTTAGTTTGAATTTTGTTTAAATTGGTATTCGTTGGTTTTGTGGCTTGATGTGCGATTTAGAAGGCAAGTTTTGATTAGAAATGTACTAAGGCTTTGACAAATTGGGTGTTATTTAGTGGCATATGTGTGTGTTTGTAGTGTCAGTGAGTGTTAGTGTCCAGTGAACTCTGGAGCACCATTCTGTGTCGTTGGTAGTGTGTGCAGTGTTCGGGCGTGTCTGTTTGTTGCAGTGTGTGCATTTGCCAGATTGTTTGTTATTTTCGATATTTCATGTAGATAGTTAATTTCGTGTATCCTGTTTGTAATCTGGTTATCACCCTGTTTATTTTTTGATTTATTGTGAAAATTTTAGTTCAGTTTTTAGTAAACTTTTCAGTTTAGCATTTGAATTG